CCAGAGATGGGGTCATAGCAACTCCAACTTGAAAGTGGTTGTCAGAAGTTCTGGAGTCCAAGACATATGGCTGGTGCCTGGTGTGTCTTCCTCAGGTAGACAGTGTTGGAACTGAGGAGGAGGATACCCAGCTGGTGTCCACTGCTTGGTGGTAGGGAGGAACCCCCTCACATTTGGTCACAGAATTCTTCCGTGTTGATGATTGCTGTGATGGTGATGTAAGAGCAGAGGAAAAACACAGAGAGTTTTCCTGGAACACATATCCACCTCTCCCCCAAAAACTGAGCTCACGTTCCTGCAGACTCAACTCATACTATGAAAGCGGCAGCTGGAGGAATGCTGACGGAAAGGAGAGACCAGTTAGGAAGTGCCTATAGCAGTCTCCCCAAGGTGAGCAAGGCCTACCTGTGGATGGTGGTGGTGGGAACTGAAAGGAGGAATCAGGGACATTTCAGGAGAGTAAGAAGAGCCCTGTCCCTTACCAGAGGTGGGGAATGAAAGACTCGAAAGTCACTGAAGTGACTTAGATTTTCTTGGAGGGTTGGAAAGCAGGGAGAATTAGAAAACTGGGCATAAATTGTGGTGCCTGTTAAGTGCTGGGTAGAGAAGCTCTTGGAGGTGATACACTTAGCTTCACATAGTTGAGTTTGAACTGATGTTAACACATGTAAATAGAGACGGTGGCAGCTGGAGATGTTGAAATAGGTCCTCTGGAGTAAAAATAAAAATCTGACTAGTAACAGCCTGGAAATGGTCATTAAGCCTGTGAGACATGGGTAGAAATGAGAATAGAGACTGAAAAGGCACACCAGATTTTTAGCTGGGCTTTCAAGATCCATTTGGCCCGGCAGTTTTGTTTTTTGGCCTATTTTCATATGTCAGATGAACAGGAACATGGAGATAAGGCAGAGCTGCTGCAGAGAAGGGACCGTGAGGGGAGTGGTGGCGGGCAGGACTGCACAAACTTCACCCTTCAGCCAGATTCTTCTTCCATTACCTCTAAATCCTTTTACATATAGGTGAGGAAAAGGTCCTGAGGGTGAGGTGATTTGCCCTAGGTATTAACATCCCAGTGTCAGAGCCAGAACCAGAACCAGAACCCAGTGACTAGTTTTTCCATTATGCCCAGAAAGTTCTAAAGAAAGGTGTAAAAAACACACTTCCATTTAGCTTTTCCTTCTCTAGGAACACCCCTAGTGCCCAGAACACCCATAGTGCCCAAGTCAGCAGTTTCCCTGCATGTGACAGAGGGACAGTACCCATAGGCTTTTGGTCTTGATGGCCTTCTCCTGGTCCTGCTTCTCTCTCTTTTTTTTTTTTTTGAAATGGAGTCTCACTCTGTCGCCCAGGCTGGAGTGCAGTGGCATGATCTCGGCTCACTGCAACCTCCGCCTCCCATGTTCAAGTGATTCTGCTGCCTCAGCCTCCTGAGTAGCTGGGATTACAGGCATGTGCCACCACGCCCAGCTAATCTTTGTATTTTTAGTAGAGACGGGGTTTCACCATGCTGGTCAGGCTGTTCTTGAACTCCTGACCTTGTGATCCACCTGCCTCGGCCTCCCGAAGTGCTGGGATTATAGGCGTGAGCCACTGCACTCAGCCTGGTCCTCCTCTAATGGCTCCTTCCCAGGCTCCACAGTCCCTTCTTCTTCCGCATGTGCCTTTCACACTCCGCTTGTGTGTTCTCATCCAAATTCAGAGCTTCCTCTCAGTTAAAACTGCTGAGGACTCCTAAGTCAATTTCCGGCCCAGACATCTTCTGAGCTTGAGGCTTTGGTCCAGTTGCCCACTGGGCATCTCCACCTGGATGCCACGGCTCATGCCTAAAAGGCCAGCACTTTGGGAAGCCAAAGTGGGAGGATCACTGGAGCCCAGGAGTTTGAGACCAGCCTGGGCAACATTGTAAGAATCCATTTCTAAAAAATTGAAATAATTTGCATTTTGAACAAGCACTTCAAATAACATGTCCAGCCAGGTTTAGGACCACTATTAGATACAATGTTATGCCAATAAAATTGGAAGTCTAGATGAATTTTTTTTTTCACAGGTTGTCCGTGACCAAAGGTTGACCCTGAAACCTCATAGGTTAATGAGCATAGCAGAAATTAAAAGGTTTTTAAAGGTCTTTCTGCTACAAAGCCAAGTCCAGATAGTCTCTTAAGCTGCAGAAAGACCATAACTGCTACATATTTCCCCCCAATTTTTTGTTATGAAAGCTTAAAATTTTAAACTTCTACAAAGTTTTAATCTAGTACCATGAACAGCTGTATCCTCCTCCTAGATTTAATAATTAACATTTTGCCATATCTGCTTTATCTTATGTATTTTCTTTTTGCTGACGATTTTCAAGTCAAACATTCTGACAGTTCATCCCTAAATACTTCCTCATTTTCTAAGAATAAAGACATTGGCACAATCACAACATATAGCACACAAAATAATTCATAAAGCATCGAATATCTCGTTCATAGTTAAATCTCCCTAGTTGCCCCCAAAATGTTTTTATAGTGTTATTTTACAAACCAGGATCTGTTTCAGTATAAACTATTCTGGGGCATTCCAAAAGGTGGTAAGTTTTGGAATTTTGTTCCACAAGTTTGACAAGGCACAAAACCACAAAACACGAAAATTAAAAAGCAATCTAATAAATAAAAATGCAAAAATCAGAGTCTATAGGCCGGGCTCAGCGGCTTACGCCCATAATCCCAGAGGCTCACGCCTATAAATCCCAGCACTTTGGGAGGCTAAGGTAGTAGGGTCTTGAGCTCAGGAGTTTGAGACCAGCCTGGGCAACATAGCAAGACCCCATCACTACTAAAAGTAAAAAACTTAAAAAAAAAAAAAAAGAAAAAGAAAGAAATGGAAATAGCCAGGCACGGTGGCATGTGCCTGTAGTCCCAGTTGCTTGGGAGGCTGAGGACGGAGGATCGCTTGAGCCCAGGAGGTCGAGGCTGCAATGAGCCGAGACTGCTGCACTGCACTCCTGACTGGGTGACAGAGCGAGACCCTGTCTAAAACAAACAAAACAAAAAAGAATATTAGCAAAGAGATGACAGTGTATTCGAGGACTGACTCGTTGAGAGCCTCGCGTTGAACCCTCAGCATCTTTCCCGTTGGTCTAGCAGGCTTGTAGTCAGATCCTACAGACGTCTCGCGTGCCTAAACCAACCAGGGTCATTCCATCCCCGTCACAGCGACTTGTTCAAATAGCTCAAGCCTATCAGCATACGATGTTACCCTGGCCACAGAGTTGATTCAACCAGCTAAAAGTTCGTCCTTTTGCGGAGAATCAGCAAACGCTACAAATCAGGGCTTTCGTCCCTGAAAAGTTCGGTTGTTAAACATTCACCAGCACACCACCTCGACTTAGGCTGTTCCCTTTTGCCCTTTGCCTTTCGAGGCATGCTTTTTCCGGACTGTGGTAATTAACCATTTCTCGTTGGTCCGTCCTGATGTTCCAGGCGCACTGGAATGAACGCAGACTGCTCTACTCCGGGCCGGGCCCGGGAGGAGGGGTGGGGCGTGGCCTCTGACGCGGGCCCCGCCCACCGTAGCGTCGCCGAAGTCCGCCCGGACTCCAGCGCTCAGCCGGCGCCGCAGGTGGTGCTTGTCGGGAGAGCCATGGCCAGTAAGTGGCGCGGCCGCGCGCTGCAGCTCGAGCTCGGGCCGGAGGGGAGGCTTTGGAGCAGCGCCGGCGGTGGCTTGGCCGGCTCAGCCCCCCGCCCCGCGTGCCCGCCGTGCGCGGCCTTCCCTGATGCGGGCATTCGCGTGGGTCCGGGATCGCGCGGCGGGGCGGCCGGGCGCACTCCCGGGATTCCAGGCTTCCGGGGTGGCGGGCGAGGCCCAGAAAGCACCAGGCCGCCCGGGCTGCGCCGGCACCCGCCGCGTCCTGCTTGAGAGAGGCTGACGGACGTGTATTTCTGCACGGTGTGGGCCGCGGTGGTAGGATCCGACTCCCTTGGGTGTTTTCAAGTTGCGTGACCTCCTCCGCCCCCCCTGCACAAAGGTGCCCAGGCGGTTCTTCCTTTCCCCCCTCACTTTCCAGCTCCAGATTTTGACTTGGATTCTTGCTGTGTCACTTACTTTGTTCAGTGACTTTGTGCAGCTTTCTCCCTGCAAGCCCCGTTTCTTTATCTGTAAAATGATGTTAATGATACCTCACAGAAGTTTATGTATGAAGGACCTGGCACATTGCTTTAAATTTTATTCCCTTGTTGGTTCCTTCGCTCACAGTGTTTTATTCTTTTTTTTTCCTCCCCTTCGTTGGGCCTTCGTTGTTAGATTATGATGAATATTAGGGCAGCCTTAAAAGTCATTGTGTCTCCACTATACAGATGAGACGGAGTGACTGGCGTCTCATCCTTAGCATGAGAAACTGCCCAGTGGCGGGGTCTCCCTGCTGCAGCACGCCTGTAGAGTGGGTCATTTGCAGAATGACAGGCAGTCCTAAGCTTAGTTGAGGACACCGCCCTTGTGGGTGAGATGTGTGGGAGAGGAAGCCATCAGCATAGCCATGGTGAGCTTTATCTTTCCCACCCTCAGAAGAAGAGACATGGCCAGGCACGTGGCTCACGCCTGTAATAGTAACACTTTGGGAGGCTGAGGCACGAGGATCGCTTGAGCTCAGGAGTCAGAGTTGGAGACCAGCCTGGGCAACATGGCGACACCTGTCTGTACTAAAAATAAATACAAAATTAGCCCGGCGTGGTGGCACGCGCCCGTAGTCCCAGCTTACTTGAGAAGCTGAGGAGGGAGGATGGCTTAACCCCGGGAAATAGAGGGGAGACATTTAGTGGATTTGTCTGCTGTTCTGGTAACAGCTCAAAATATGTTTGCCCTAGAATAATCCCAGCTGTTATTTCCTGTTTTAGTTTCCTTTGTATCCCTTCAGATTCTGTAACTATTTAGCAGGCTGCCTTCAGGGTTAAATTTAGTGCTTCTCACTATAGTTAGGATAGATGGAGGAATGGGACATCTGAGTTTTCCTTTTAGTTCACCCTGAGCCAAACAGGCCTTCATCAGAGGCCAGGTTTATCATCGTTGCAGCTTCTGGAGACATTTGCATTGTTACAGGAAACACCCAAAGAGATAGCTCTCTAATGGTAGGATTTTCAGACTGGAGCAGATGTGGGATGGGGAGTTTGGGCAGGCCGTTACTAATAATTCCTGAAGTTTCGCAGAGCTTCAGAGGTTATGATGTGCTCTGGATCCTTTACTGCGGCGTCCCACCAGACCGTGAGCAGGAACTATGTACCATCAGGGTCCAGGCAGAACGTGGAGACAACACTGGTAACTGGAACAAGGAAATAAATTTATTTATTTATTTTAGAGACTGAGTCTAACTCTGTCGTCCAGGCTGGAGTGCAGTGGCGTGATCTTGGCTCACCGCAACCTCCACCTCCCAGGTTCAAGTGATTCTCCTGCCTCAGCCTCCTGAGTAGCTGGGATTACAGGTGCCTGCCACCACACCCAGCTAATTACTGTATTTTTAATAGAGATGGGGTTTCACCGTGTTGGCCAGGCTGGTCTGAAACTCCTGAACTCAGGTGATCCACCTGCCTTGGCCTCCCAAAGTGCTGGGATTACAGGTGTGAGCCACCACACCCAGCAGAAAATTTTATATTAAAAATTATTATCTGGACAGGCGTGGTGGCTCATGCTTATAATCCCAGCAGTTTGAGAGGCTGAGGCAGGAGGATTGCTTGAGCCCAGGAGTTCGAGACCAGCCTGGGCAACAAAGTGAGATCCTGTCTCTACAAAAAAATTTAAAAATTAGCCAGGCATGGTGGTGCATACCTGTGGTCCCAACTACATAAGAGGCTGAGACATGAGGATTGCCTGAACCCAGGAGGTGGAGGCTGCAGTGAACCATGTTTGTGCCACTGCACTCCAGCCTAGGCGACAGAACAAGACCCTGCCTCAAAGTTAAAAATATTAGCTCATGGAAAGTGATTTTCATAAAAGCTAAAAGGGAACTCTAAAAAACAGAAGAAAAGCAAATAGATGTCTAGCTACCACCTCCAGGAAGGAATAAGCTTGGAAGAGCCGCCAGCCTCCTTGCTCCAGGGCTGAGCACAGACCTTGTCAGGGCTGGCTACATCATTTGTGGGGCCCAATCCCCTTGTTCAGAGAGCAAGGAAAAGTGCTGTTAGCTTTTCCTCCTGCAGTATCTCTCTCAACCTCTCATGGTGTTATTTGCTGTTTAATGTCATGTTCTCTTGGACACAGGAATGTTTATGGGGTAAGTGCAGACTTTTACAGGTGCCTGGGACCCCTGTCCTGTGAGTAGGCATGTGTGCAGCTCACGGGCTGCCAGGGTTTCCCTCTGCCAGCAGCCGGATCAATGTGCTGTGACCCAGCCAGTAGTGGGAAAACTGAGACAGACATCTTCCCTTCCCACGAGCTGGGCTGCCCATGGGAAGCACATGAGCAACTTCCAAGGAATTGCACTTTCTGTGCTGGGACATGCTCAGTATATGGATTGGAGATAGGCGGGAGGTCCAAGAACAAATAGTAAGGGACAGGACCATATTCAAACCCAGTCTTTTTACTTTAGCCATATTCTCATTTCATTCCCTACACTGCATAGTAAGAAGCTGGTTCGCTCTAGATTCTTGTGCTTGGCATGGGACTTTACCCATGCATATTGCTCTATCTCCAGATAGACTTTAGCACTATTGACATTTTGGACAGGATGATTCTTTGTTCTGGAGGGGGTTGTCCTAGGCATTGTAGGAAGTTTGGCAGTATCCTTGGTCTCTATTCATTAGATGCCACTCATACCTCATCAGTTGTGGCATCAAAGGTGTCTTCAGACTTTGTCAGATGTTCCCCAGGGGACATAATTGCCTTCCATTTGAGAACCATGGCTCTGTCTGAATCCAGCAGTTCAAGCTTCTGACGGCTGTTTTCTTTTGTCTTTGTCCTCAGCTTTCCGCCTGGCCCTCATCCAGCTTCAAATTTCTTCCGTCAAATCAGATAACGTCACTCGAGCTTGTAGCTTTATCCGGGAGGCAGCAACGCAAGGAGCCAAAATAGTTTCTTTGCCGGTCAGTATGGGGGCAGCCATCCTGTTCTGGGCTCTGTAGACCCAGCAGAACAGTGTTTGCTAGCTCTGGTGGTCCTCTTGTATCCTGGGGTCGAGCAGTGTCCTTTGGAGCCCATAGATTGTTTTGTGTTTAACTGGAGGATGACCTTAGCAAGGGTCTTTGTAAGGTAGGATGTGCCAACACGGTCATAGGTCTTTAGCTTTTGGGTCTTCCTCTTTGTTCAGATGAAGCAGCCAAAATCCTAGTATTTCGAGGGACATACGGAAAACTGAAATACTCAGTGCTTGGACACTTTGTTCCTTATATAATTAAGTCTTTATAGGACCAGACCATGTTGGTTTTAGCACTGAGCCTCCAACATTTTTTTTTTTTTAATGAACTCTGGGAGAGCCCATGTGACTTGTCTCTTCTAACCCACTAGGCTAGCTTTGTAGTCTTGCCTGTGACTACAGGCTGTTTACCCTTGAGATGTCAGTGTTTTTCTTCTTAGCTGTGTTTTAACCCTTCGACTGAAAGCAGAGCTAGAAGCAGCAGCTATGGCCTCTTACAGCAGAACTTTAAAATGGATGGGTGTTTTGATCTTTTTTTTTTTTTTTCTCTCTGCCAATATTTTTCTAGGAATGCTTTAATTCTCCGTATGGAACGAAATATTTTCCTGAATATGCAGAGAAAATTCCTGGTGAATCCACACAGAAGCTTTCTGAAGTAGCAAAGGAATGCAACATATATCTCATTGGAGGTAACTTCATACCCACAAGGTATAATGGCCTAAACATTAAAAACATCTGAATGAGCCAGGTGTGGTGGCGTGCACCTGGATTCCCTACTTGGGAAGCTTCAGTTTGGGAAGCTGAAGCAGAGAGTTTCTTTTTTTTTTTTTTTTTTTTTTTGAGGTGAGGTCCTGCTTTGTCACCAACGCTGGAGTGCAGTGGTGTGATCATGGCTCAGTGCAGCCTCACCCTACCAGGCTCAAGTGATTCTCCCACCTCTTAGCCTCCTGAGTAGCTGGGACTGCAGGTGTGTGCCACCATGCCTGGCTGATTTTTGTATTTTTTTGTAAAGACAGGGTTTCACCATGTTGCCCAGGCTGGTTTTGAACTCCTAGGCTCAAGCAGTCTGCCCACCTTGGCCTTCCAAAGTGCTAGGATTACAGGCGTGAGCCATCGTGCCAGGCATGTTTTTTGTTATACTAATAGAGGATTGAGAAAAAAAATTTTTTTCCATAGAGGCCACATACATAAAGGTAACTTTATTTTTGTGGTTTTGGAATAAATGTTTAAAGGTTTTATTTGCTTAAATAAAAAATAAGCATAGAAAAAGTTCTATAAATATAGCAAATAAAATGTTTTCTGTACGATGATATATTGAGAATGAGAAATGAAGGCAAAGCAAGAAGCCTGGAGATGAAACTGCATTCAGTGATGGAGAGGCTTCTGACTTCACATTCTCATCTTTTGGAATACAGTTTTGTTGCAGGACCTGGTGAATTCAAGTTAAGCAATGGGAAATTTTTCATTTTGCCCTAATGTTAGAGATTAAGTGTTGCTCAGGATCATGGCTGAATTTCAGGTATAGTTAGGTTATTTTTTAAGCCAGTCTTTGGCATCTAACCTAATCATGTCCCGTCTACACTCTGCAGTTTATCTCTGAAAGATCATATTCAAGAAGGACCAAAAAAAAAAACCCATGATTAAATAACCCATAGAAGGGAATACTTATTCTGTATTGTAGAATGAGGTGTTGCCTTATTCTAAAAACAAAATGAATAAATAAACCGTAAAAGATGGGTTCTTTATTTTTGGAACCAAGTTATCAGGCTTTTATCCCTTTCTCACAAAAGAATTGTTCTATTCTTTTTCTTATGGTATATTTCTTCTCTCAATGAAAGGCTCTATCCCTGAAGAGGATGCTGGGAAATTATATAACACCTGTGCTGTGTTTGGGCCTGATGGAACTTTACTAGCAAAGTACAGAAAGGTAAGTAGGAAGTGTGGCAGAATAATTTGTTATCTTTAAGCCAGCAACAATGTGTGGAAAAAAAAAAGAATTTGCTATGAAGTCCCCTAGTTCCTCTCATTATGTCATACATGTATTAGGGTTTTAACTGATTGGCATAGGTGGTTATTCTCGGCCATCTGCATTTTTATATAGATTTTAGACACAGCCTGTCAATTTCTGCAAAGGAACAACCTATAGTAATTTTTTTTGTTGTTTTTTTGGTTTTATTTTTAGACAGAGTCTGGCTCGGTGGCCCAGGCTGGAGTGCAGTGGCACAATCTTGGCTCACTGCAAGCTCCGCCTCCTCAGTTCACATCATTCTCCTGCCTCAGCCTCCCAAATAGCTGGGACTACAGGCATCTGCTACCACACCCAGCTAATTTTTTGTATTTTTAGTAGAGACGTGGTTTCACCATGTTAGCCAGAATGGTCTTGATCTCCTGCCTCGGCCTCCCAAAGTGATCTGCCTGCCTCGGCCTCCCAAAGTGCTGGGATTACAGGCATAAGCCACCACGCCCGGCCAACCTATAGTAATTTTTATTAGTATTTCATTGAGTATATAGAGAACACTTTGGGAAGAGTTGCCATCTTTTTAGTATTAAATGCATATACATGGCCAGGTGCAGTGGCCCATGCCTGTAATCCCAGCACTTTGGGAGGTCGAAGTGGGTGGATCACCTGGGGTCAGGAGTTCAAGACCAGCCTGGGCAGCATGGTGAAACCCCGTCTCTGCTAAAAATACAAAAAATTAGCTGGGTGTGGTAGCAGACGCCTGTAGTCCCAGCTACTTGGAAGGCTGAGGCAGGAGAATGGCGTAAACCCGGGAGGCGGAGCTTGCAGTGAGCTGAGATCCAGCCACTGCACTCCAGCCTGGGCGACAGCGTGAGACTCCGTCTCAAAAAAAAATACAAAATTGGCTGGGTGTGGTGGCTCACAGCTATAGTCCCACCTACTTGGGAAGCTGAGACAGGAGAATCGCTTGAACCTGGGAGGTGCAGTGAGCCAAGATCGTGCCACTGTACTCCAGCCTGGGCAAGACAGAGCGAGACTCCGTCTCAAAAAAAAAAAAAAATGCATATACATTTAGTATCATTAAGTCTTCTTGATGAGTTGATCCTTTTATCATTATGAAATGTCTTTTTTTTCTTGTAATACCTTTTGTCTTAAATTCTACTTTATCTCTGCTATCACTGTAACCACTCCAGGCTTCTTATGCCTACTGTTTGCTAGTACATGGTTTTTCCAGTTCTTTATTCTCAAGCTATATGTGTTTTCATATTTTAAGTGGATCTCTTGTCAACAGCATATAATTGTATCCTAATTTTTTCTTTATTCTGACAATCTGTGTCTTTTAATTGAAGTGGTTAGTCCATTTATATTTAATGCACTTATTGATATGATTGAATTTAGGGAGACAGACATTTTACTTTTTTTCCTCTGTTCATCTTTTCTGTATTATTTTGGATTCATTGAATATTTTTTAGAGTTCTGTTTTAATTTATTTTTTTAGTTATACCTCTTTGCTTTTTTTTTTCTTCCAGTTGTTGCCCTGGGAATTATAATATGCATCCTTAACTTTTCATACACTACTTAAGAGTTCATATGATACCACTTTATGTGAAATTTAAGAACCTTATAATGGTATAAGTCCATTTTTCTACCCCACTGCCCCTGCCCTTATTCTTTATGCTATAGTTGTCATTTGTAGTCCATGTATATATGTTATAAATCCAACAAAACAGTAATACTTGATTTAAATAGTCATATGTATTTTAAAGAAATTAAGAAGAAAACAATCTTTATGCTTATCCAAATATTTATCATTTCTGGTGTTTTTCTTTCCTTCCTGAAGATCCTTCTTCTATCTGGTATATCCTTCAGACCAAAGGCCCTCGTTTAGAATTTTTGTACTGAGGATCTGTTAGCTAGGAATTCTGTTCGTTTTTCTTTATGAATATGTCTTTACATTGTTTTCATTCTTGAAAGATATTTTTGCTGGAATAGAATTTTGGATTGATAGTTTTCTTTTTTTTTTTTCCCCACTAGTAGTTGTTATCTAGTCTTTTTTTTTTTTTTTTTCCTTCCCTGATGAGAAGTGGGTAGTAATTTGTATTGTTCCCTGGGACATAATTTGTTGTTTTTCTCTTCCTCCTTTCAAGATGTTTTCATAATCTTTAGTTCTTAGTATTTTGACTTTGATATGCCTAGATGTGGTTTCCTTTGTCTTTGTCTTCCTTGGTACTTCCTGAAACTGTAAACTTAAATCTTTCACTGTGTTTGGGAAGTTTTTTTGACACTATTTTGTTAACTATTTTTCTGTTCCTTTTTCTTATGGAGCTCCAGTATATGTACATTATATTTTCAAATATTTTTTTAGGTCACCAGGCTCTGTTTTTCTGTTTTTGTTTTTCCAATACTTTTTCCTTCTCTTCTACAGATTAATTTCTGTTGATCTTTCAGACTTATTCACTATTTCTTCTGTCTTGTTCAATTTCCTGTAAGCCAACCCAGTGACATTTAAAAAAATTCAGATATTAAGATTTTCAGTTCTGAAATACCCTTTTGTTTCTTTTTTATAGTTTTTAGTACTCTATATTTTCTGTTGGTTCATTAAAAGCATATTTTTCTTTACACTCTTGAGCTTAGTCAGTTTCTATAGCTGCTTTAAAGTCTGATAATTATCACATCTGTGTGCCACAGAATGAGACTCTTAGGCCTTTAAAAGGCCTTTGATGTAAATAAACTCATGTCTAAACAAACAACAACAACAAAATTGTAACATCTGGGTCATGGCAGGATCTGTGTTCATTTGATTGCCTTTTCTTTGCAGTTTGAGTCACACTTCTGTTTCTTTGAGTATCTACTAATTTAAGATTGTATAGTGGATTATATGTTGTAGAGATTCAAGATTCTATTATAGTCTTCCAAAAAGTGTTGAATATTTTGTTTTAATTGATGGTTAACTTGGTCGCATTCAAACACCAAACTCGTATCTTCTTTGTAACGTGGGCAGCAACTTTAGCTGCTCTGTTCTATCTGGTTGTTCTGCCCCACTTCTGTTTAACTCAGTGATCAGCCAGAGATTTAGAAAGATTTTATACGTAGAATTTAGGGCTCTTGACTCTTTGCTTTCTCCATTTCAGGATTTCCTCCCTTGGTTCCAGCTCTGGTTTTCAAGCCAGTGTGATTATGGGTAATTTTCACCCCACTTAATCACAGCAGCTAAGACCTTGCTTCAGGGTAACAGTGGTAAATAGAACCGGGAAGTTCATCCAGGGCTGTTCCCTGCTTCCACATGTTTGTGTTCTCCTCTTCAGGTTTTGCCTGCTTTGTTTTGGTCATTCTTCAGTGCTTTAAGTAGTTGTGCCTTTTATTTTGCCCAGAGTTCATAGTTAACTACAAGAGAGCTGGTCTGATAGGAGCTACTGTGCACCTGCTGGAAGGACAGCCAGCACTGGACTATTAACCCAACTCTTTGAAATGTATCTTTTTAGTATTAAGTTTTCCATCCCATGAATGTGGTATATATCCTGACATTTATTACGCTTTCTTTACTTTCTCTCAATTTCTTTTTATAGTGTTTTGGGTATAATTTTGTGTAACATTTGTGAGATTTATTCCTCATTGGTGTTTTTAGATGCTTTTTCATTTTCTGTTTTGTTGTTGTTGTTGTTTTGTCTTTTTTTTGAGATGGAGTCTTGCTCTGTCGCTTAGGCTGGAGTACAGTGGTGTGATCTCAGCTCACTGCAACCTCCACCTCCCTGGTTCAAGCCGTTCTCTTCTTTCAGCTTCCCAAGTGGCTGGGATTATAGGCAAACACCACCATGTCTGGAAAACTTTTGTACTTTTAGTAGAGACAGGGTTTCACCATGTTGTCCAGGCTGGTCTTGAACTCCTGACCTCAGGTGATCTGCCTGCCTTGGCCTCCCAAAGTGCTGGGATTACAGGCGTGAGCCACCATGCCCGGCCCATTTTCTGTTTCTTGCTAATACATAGAAGTAGAGCAAGTTTTTAAAATATTGACTCTGTGGTGAGGCACGGTGGCTCCTGGCTGTAATCCCAGAACTTTGCGAGGTAGAGGCAGGCAGATTGCTTGAGTTCAGGAGTTGGAGACCAGCCTGGGTAACATGGCAAAACCCCTTCTCTACAAAAACTACAAAAGAAATTAGCTGGGGTGGGGGTGGGGTATGCCTGTAGTCCCAGCTACTCAGGAGGCTGAGGTGGGAGGATTGCTTGAGCCTGGGAGGTCAAGCCTGCAGTGAGCCAACATCACACCACTGCACTCCAGCCTGGGTGCCAGAGCATGACTCTGTCTCAAAAAAGGTTTTTTTTTTTTTTTTTTTTTTTGGACGGAGTCTCGCTCTGCCGCCCAGGCTGGAAGTACAGTGGCCGGATCTCAGGCTCACTGCAAGCTTCCGCCTCCCGCGGGTTCACGCATTTCCTGCCTCAGCCCGAGTTAGCTGGACACAGGCCGCCCGCCAGCCTCGCTCCGGCTTAGTGTTTTTGTATGATTTTTAAAGGTAGAGACGGGGTTTCACCATGTCAGCCAGGATCGGTCTCGAGCTCGTGACCTCTCCTGACCTCGTGATCCGCCCGTCTCGGCCTCCCAAAGTGCTGGGATTACAGGCTTGAGCCACCGCGCCCGGCCAAAAAATTTTTTTAATGAAAAAAACAGCAACCTTGCTAAACTCACTCATTAATTCTAATAATTTATCTGTAGATTTTTTTAAATTTCTAGGTACATAATTATATCATCTGAGAATAATGACAGATTTCATTTTTTCTTTTCAGTTGTTACAGTTTTTACTTCTTTTCTTTTATTTCTTGCTCTGTTTAGGCTCTCTGGTACCTGTACCAAGCAGATGTCCTTGTCTTGTTCCCAATCTCAGTGGGAGAGTTTTCAGTATTTCATCATCAAGTATGATGTTTGTTTAGGTGTTTTGTAGATAGTCTTGATCAGATTAATAAAGTTCCCTTCCTAGAAGTTTTTCTTTCTTTCTTTTTTTTTTTTTTTGAGACAGAGTCTCGCTCTGTCACCCAGACTGGAGTGCAGTGGCGCGATCTCGGCTCACTGCAAGCTCTGCCTCCTGGGTTCATGCCATTCTCCTGCCTCAGCCTCCCGAGTAGCTGGGACTACAGGCGCCCGCCACCTCGCCCGGCTAGTTTTTTGTATTTTTAAAGTAGAGACGGGGTTTCACCATGTTAGCCAGGATGGTCTTGATCTCCTGACCTCGTGATCCGCCCGTCTCGGCCTCCCAAAGTGCTGGGATTCCAGGCGTGAGCCACTGTGCCTGGCCTCTGTTTTGTTTTTTAAATCGGGAATGGCTTAGAAGTTTACCAAATGCTCATACATCTTTTGAGATGATCATGTGATTTTTTCTTCTTTATTTTGTTACTTTAGTAAAATCGATTGATTTTCTAATCTTAAACAGCATTTGTTTTCTTTGAATAAATCCAATTTGGAAGTGATGCATTATTCTTTTGCTGAATTTGGTTTGCAGAATTTTTACCTATTTTTAAATGTCCACCCACTTTCCACCTCTCCTGTCAATTTGTCAGTTTGATTCTGATAAGTCTTTTTTTTTGAGACAGAGTCTTGCTCTGTCACCCAGGCTGGAGTGCAATGGCGCGATCTCGGCTCACTGCAACCTCCACCTCCCAGGTTTGAGCAATTCTCCTGCCTCAGCCTCCTGAGTAGCTGGGACTATGGGCATGCACAATCACCCCCGGCTAACTTTTCTTCTATTTTTAGTAGAGACAAGGTTTCATCACATTGGCCAGGCTGGTCTCAAACCCCTGACCTCAGGTGATCCACCCACCTTGGCCTCCCAAAGTGCTGGGATTACAGGCGTGAGCCACCATGTCCAGCCTGACTCTGAGAAGTCTTTATTTAGCGCATATATATATATATATATTTTTTTTTTTTTGAGACGGAGTCTTGCTCTGTCGCCCAGGCTGGAGTGTAGTGGCGTGATCTTGGCTCACTGCAAGCTCCGCCTCCTGGGTTCACGCCATTCTCCCGCCTCAGCCTCCTGAGTAGCTTGGACTAGAGGCACCCGCCACCGCGCCCAGCTAATTTTTTGTATTTTTAGTAGAGACGGGGGTTTCACCGTGTTAGCCAGGATGGTCTCGATCTCCTGACCTCGTGATCCGCCCGTCTCGGCCTCCCAAAGTGCTGGGATTACAGGCTTGAGCCACTGCGCCCGGCCTTGCATTTATATTTTTAAAAAGCAACACATTGGTTACCTGCTATGAGAAACCTAGAGGTTGATTTGCATACCACATATAAAATAGGGGTTTTAAAAGGTACAGCATCATTTTTCCAGTTCCCTGTGGTAGAATTCATTTTGATAAGGTGTCAGTCAGCTTGTGGGGTGGATTATGAGCAGTCTGGGGGTACTGTTTGCATAGTTGATCTTAGAGCGCCTTCTGTATCCGCCCAGGGAAAGATATTGTCGTTACTGCCATTCCATTTGACATGCTGGGAAAGAGGTAATCAAATCCATTATTTGTGATGCAGATCCATCTGTTTGACATTGATGTTCCTGGAAAGATTACATTTCAAGAATCTGAAACGTTGAGTCCGGGTGATAGTTTCTCCACATTTGATACTCGTATGTACCAGATAAGTTTGCCTCTTTAGCAATCTCAGTAGAAGACAATCAGGTATTTATTTCTTTTTTGTCTCTCTCCAATTTCTTCACATAACCTCACTGAAAGACCGTAAGTAAGAAAGGCAGAGAATTATCACAGATCTAGAAAGTTCGACCTTATTTGAGAACTAAGGATTTGACATGATTTTGCCCTTTGATTTGATTGTAGCCTCCTGTTATGGCTTCCAGAGTATATACCGATTAGGCCATGGTTGAGTACCTCCCATCTAGGTAACAAGCATTCAGTTAGAATGCATTTCTCATCTTCACTCTGCTGATGTAAATGATGTCTTTATGCGATGAAGTCCAAGTAGGAATGAGCTCGTCCATGGTCTGTGTCCTCAGGTCCTGTGTTAATTTATCCCTGTCAGTGTTTTGTGATCATTAAGTCATGGAGGGGCTCCTCTGCCACACCACGCTGTAGGGAGTTAACTTTCCACGTGTGCCTTTTCTGTTTGGAAACAGCTTACTGCAGAGTGGGTCTGGGCATCTGCTACGACATGCGGTTTGCAGAGCTCGCACAAATCTACGCACAGAGAGGTGAGGCACTGCAGCAGCTGTGTTACGTGGGTGCTTGGAGGCTTGGTTCTAGGCTGGTCTATGTGGGATCCTTAGTCAATAAAAGCTGGGAGGGGGCTCTTTCATCTCTCCATCACCAGCCCTTTCACCCCCTTGAGGCTTCCCAGACTTCTGCTGCGTGTGGATAACAGGGCTTTTCAGGGATTGTAATTAAACACATCATGTAAGGTAGGAGCTATGCTCATAAAGGTCTGGTCTACCCTTGAGTCCTTCTTGTTCCTGTGTTTGGAGAGTCACTTGAAGCCCAGTAGAAATGAAGTGGATTTCACCACTCACTACCCCTAGACACTGGGTAGAGTGGAAATGTAGTCTGTGATATTTCGGTCCAGACGAGGAGAAATGTGCCAGTGTCTGGGAAGAGCCAGTTCAAAAGATGTGGGTTCTAGTTCCAACTCTTCCCTTTAATTGGCACAGTGCTTTGCTGAAATGATTTAACCTCTAGAGCAGTGTGGTTCTCAGTTTAGTCGCAGGAATGATATGAGGAGTAAGAAGAGAGAACCTATAAGCCCCTCGTGTGGTACTCCACAAATCCCAGCATCCTTACTAGACTGCTTGAAGCTACTTCCAAATACACTGTCACTTAACCAAGTGAAGCGGGTGGAAATGGTTTGACTGGCTGCTCAGAAGCGGGAGGTGCATGGGCTCTGGGGTCAGTAGTCTCTGTTGAGCCATATATCAATAAGCATTAGGGCAACTACTCTGCCCCTAATTTCAGTTGAAAAGAATTACAAAAAGTGGTCATTGGCCATGTGGAGCTGACATATGGAGCTGAGAAAAAATTTGTTTTTTTGTTTCTGTTTCGTTTTTGGTTTTTTTTGGGAGACAGAGTTTAGCTCTTGTCGCCCAGGCTGGAGTACAATGGTGTGATCTCGACTCACTGCAACCTCCGCCTCCCAGGTGATGCACCCGCCTGGCCATAATTTCGAGGCCAGACTGGTCTCGAACTCCTGACTTCAGGTGTATACCCGCCTCGGCCTCCCAGAGTGCTGGGATTACAGGCATGAGCCACTGTGCCCAGCCAGAGCTGAGAGAAATGTGAATGACAGTTCTCTACCTTATTTTTGTTTGTTTGTTTTGAGGCAGGGTCTCACTGTCACCCAGGCTAGAGTGCAGGCGTGATCCTGGCTCACTGAAGCCTTGGTCTCCTTGGCTGAAGTGATCCTCCCACCTCAGCCTCCCAAGTAGCTGGGACGCCACCACACCTGGCTAATTTTTAAATTTTTTGTAGAGATGGGGTCTCTCTATGTTGCCCAGTCTTTCTGTACTTTTTTTTTTTTTTTTGAGACGGAGTCTCGCTGTGCCTCCCAGGCTGGAGTGTAGTGGCGTGATCTCGGCTCACTGCAAGCTCCGCCTCCCGGGTTCACGCCATTCTCCCGCCTCAGCCTCCCGAGTAGCTGGGACTACAGGCGCCCGCCACCACGCCCAGCTAGTTTTTTGTATTTTTAGTAGAGACGGGGTTTCACCATGTTAGCCAGGACAGTCTCGATCTCCTGACCTCGTGATCCACCCGCCTCGGCCTCCCAAAGTGCTGGGATTACAGGCTTGAGCCACCGCGCCCGGCCTTGTACTTTTTTTTAAGTGAAGTTGATGCTGGTGGGCTAGGGGAGGCCCCCAAACACCAGTAGGACTTTGACCCCAGCCATGTCCAAGCTGTTGACACTATTGCAAGAAGGAATTCAAGGATGAGTCAGAAAATAGTGAAAATATGGAGATTTATTGCAACGATCATGGCACTGGTGGGTGTGTGATTTAGTATGTTCATGAGCTTATAATGAGGATAATGAGGTCCTAGGTGAAACCTAGGTCAAATCCAGCACCATATTGAGTCCACTGGGTCTTAGCCCTGGTTTCTCAGGGTCTTAGCCCCTAGCTTATACAGCTATTTCAACAGTTGCTTTTTGCTAGTCATATGAAACTGCTGCCTAGAATTTTCTGTTCTCTTGCAACCATCCTGTATTATTTCTGTCTCAAGGTCACATGTGATTTTGGTCATCAATACCACTTTTCTTGTGTGTCCATATGTGTGTGACTTTTAAAGGAATTCAGAGCCATATCTTAATTGCTGCTGGCACTGTCTGACTTGGCTGACATCTTGTGTCTGGGAAAGTTTGAGTTCAGTCCCTGCTGGCTAAGGAGCAGTGGGGAGGACTGCTGGTGCTGGGTGCTCACTGCATCCAGTGTCCTTCGCCTTTTCTCTCCGCAAGGCTGCCAGCTGTTGGTATATCCAGGAGCTTTTAATCTGACCACTGGACCAGCCCACTGGGAGTTGCTTCAGCGAAGCCGGTAAGAAAGGAACCATATATTCAAGCCTCTCGGTATGTCCTCTTTGTGGAAAGATTTCCGGTTGGGTGGATGTACCAGCCTTCCTGATGTGGATTCTGTCCCTGACTCAGGATGCCCTTGTATCCAAATGCAGTTGGAAAGGATGAAGCTGTAGGGAGGACTTCTACTGCTGGGCACTTTCTCCTCAGAAGCCACAGTACCAACCTCATGGATTTTGGAAACTGTCCTTTTTTTTTTTAAGAGACGGGGTCTTACCGTTGCCCAGGCTGGAGTGCAGTAGTATAATATAATCATAGCTCATGACAGCCTTGAAATCCTGGGCTCAAGAGATCCTCCTGCCTCAGCGTCCTGAGTAGCTGGGACTACAAGCATGCGCCACCATGCCTCGCTAATTTTTTATTTTTTGTAGAGATAGAGCCTCACTCTGTTGACCAAGCTGGTCTCAGTCACCTGGCCTCAAGTGATCTTCCCGGCTCAGCCTCTCAAAGTGCTGGGATTACAGGCGTGAGCCCCAAGCCCTGCCGGAACTGTGGTTTTGGCATTTCAATATTCAGTGTGTTAGATGCGTAGTGATTTCATTTTTCTGTGATTAGATGTGGAGTGTTCCCTCTTAAGTCAGTTCCAGCAACTTTTACAGAGAAATTGAGACCCACGGAGCTTATGTCTTCAGAGCCCCAGCAGCCAATGAAAAGGCAGGGATTCGTTTAGCTTGACCTAGGGAGAGATCTGTGGTCTGTACCCAGCTGATTCTATGCCATTCAGATCAGGATGCTTATCCTACCCCCTCCTTCACACCGTCCTACTAGTCCTGACGGTACTGTGCCAAGAAACTCACTAGAAGCTCTTGTTCTTCTAACCTGTAACTCCAGGGCTTTGCACAAGCATCTTTGGCAGGTCACAGGTGCCTTTCCTTAGTCTTCTAAGGCTGAGAGGTGGTAAAGGGCAAATAGCACAGGTGGACGTCAGATGGAAGGGAAAATGAGTGTGACTGTGTGTGTGAGTGTGTCTGTCTGTAAAGTGCTCTACAGCCCATGAAATGCTGGTCAGAGATAATGGTTTTCTTTAGAATTTTTAAAAGTTGAAGTAATACAAGAAAGTGTACTAATTTTAAGCATATAGGTTGGTAAAGTTTTGTGTGTTCACCTGCCACCAAGATGAACATACAGAACATTTGCGGCTCCCGAGGATGCCCCTTTTCTGCCCCTTTCTAGTCAATACTCCTCCCTCCGGCTAGAGGTAGCCGCTCTTCTCACTTCTAGAGATGGTGGTAATTTGTAATGGAAAGGAAAGAGCTTTTAGCTGCTTGCATGGTGGAAGATGGGGGTAGGGGTATAAGATGCCATGAGTATTAATGAAGGTACAGTTTTGTCAAAAGAAAGAAAAGTTTCTGGGATACTGACATGACCCAACATGGGTCCATGAAGTCTAGAGGGCTCCCAGGTGAGGTGGTTTGATGTACCTGGACTGCGAGCTGCCATTTTTGTTCTATTTGAGGTGGTGGGACTGCCACCATGGGCACGGAAGCACCATGCGGCCTGCAAGGTGTATTGCTCTCATGAGGCCACTCCCGTTCTCTCCGGCCACCTTGACTTGCTTTAACCAGAGAAGCTCCTCTCTTATGTTAGCTTACGGCGGGTATCTCAGCAGCGGCACTGTTGACATTTAGGTGTGTAATTCTTTGGGGGCTATCCTGTAGGATGTTTGCAGCATCCCTGGTCTCTACCTACTGGATGTCAGTAGCATCTCGTTAGTCATGACAGTCAGGAAGATCTCCAGACATTGTCAAATTTGGTGGACAACATTGCTCCTTGTTGAGAACCACTGGCTTATGCAGTAAGGTAACTTTAAAGAGAAGGTTCCATGGCTCTGGCTTCCTTCTACATCTGAGTTAGCCTGAACTGTCCTATTTTTTAAAAGAAGGATCTTTCTACTTGGGTTAGAAAAATGTCAGATTTATAATGTATGATTTACCTCTTCCCTGTCTGTTGACTACAGGGCTGTTGATAATCAGGTGTATGTGGCCACAGCCTCTCCTGCCCGGGATGACGAAGCCTCCTATGTTGCCTGGGGACACAGCACCGTGGTGAACCCTTGGTGAGTGAGGCTAAGTGAGAACAGGCTCAATCGGAGCTTCAGAGGTGGCTCGTTGGCAGATGGGTGTTCCGGTTCCTGAGCAGCCAGGCGCCCACCTCTCACTCCCATTTCCCCACATATCCTGCCAGCATTCTGTCTGTCTCTGTGAGGAGCTTCCACTTGAAAACCGTGTGGAAAGGAATCACCCTGCTCTCATGATCAAGCACTTGGGCTCAGCCCTCTCCTGAGCTTCTGGTGACCTCCATTGTCAGTCACACTTGGATCCCATGGGGAAGCAAGGCAGCAGTGACAGGCAGCTTGTAGTAAGAGACTGACATTTTTGGTTAAAATTTAAGTTGGCTGGCTAGTCCCAGGGTAGGAATGAGTTACAGGGGGAGGACTTTGCTCCCAGTATAATGGCCAGAGGAGCAGTAAGGATGGGTTCAGTAAGTGAACCTATGACCCTCTCCCCTACAAAAGGGTGAAGCATTTGATTCCTCAGTGGAGCCAGCACGTAAGCCTGCCCAGACACGGGTACAGACATACGCTCATACGCATTCCTTACGGTCTACATTTGTACAGTTTACATCGTACTTTCACACACATGGTCTCAACTTGAACTCCCGGGAACTTGTTCTTATTAAGCCCAATTTATAGCTGGTAGAATTACAGAGATGAATTGGCTAGAAATAGTGTTTGAATCCAGGACATCTGCCTTCAGAACTTGGATGTGTTCCACACTAGTTCTCTGTTCGAAAGCACGCACACACACTGGTATGTGTGTCTACATTTCCGGATGAGTATACCAGTAACAAGACTGAGAAGAGTGAAATATTGCTGTGGGGTTTCTGAGGGCTTCTCTCTTCTGCCTTTATAGGTAGGGCTCAGCTCAATGTGTGTGGTGGGGAGGCCTTGGAAGTATGACTTGTGTGAGATTCCAGTTGGCCTCCTGCACATTAGGCTTGAGGTGGGACATTGAAGGACTTAAGTTGCCTTGAAAATTTTCTTGAAGTTGCATCAAGTTCCACTGTCCAGAGATCTTTGAAGGCCAGGGCAAATGGGGAAGAATCAGAAAATAATTCAGTTACATGTCATAAATGGTGGTGCTTGTAGCTCATTTGTGCCAAAAGTCTGTTTGTGGCTATCTGGTAAACAGAATCAGTTGTTATGTCAGATTATTTTGGAGAAGCTTCATTTCTCTAGATAAGGGTTTGAACCCTTGCTCTGGGCCAAGAGACTAAGCACTGGAGCCAGTTTCTTTCTTTTGTTTTGAGATGGAGTTTCACTCTGTCGCCCAGGCTGGAGTGCAGTGGTGTGATCTCAGCTCACTGCTGCAACCTCTGCCTCCCGGGTTTGAGCCATTCTCCTGCCTCAGCCTCCGAGTAGCTGGGATTACAGGTGCACACCACCATGCCCAGCTAATTTTTGTATTTTTAGTACTGATGGGGTCTCACTTTGTTGGCCAGGCTGGTCTCGAACTCCTGACCTCAAGCGATCCACCCACCTTGGCCTCCCAAAGTGCTGGGGTTATAGGCATGAGCCACCGCACCCTTCCTGGAGATAGTTTTACAGGTCAGCCTTACCCTGGATTTATGAAGGAGGGTGGCTGTTCCCTAGTGCAGGGCTCCTGCCAGTGTGAGGTTACCCTCCATCCCCCACACCACTACTACCCAGTCTTCAGAGGTTGAACTCTTTTCCCTCAAATCTGAACTGAAGCCCATTAACACAGGGGTTCAGGCATCACAGCCACCAGGGCACAGACCCCAGCAGATCTGGGGCCCTGCGTAGGCCCAGCTTCATCACGCTCACGTAGGGTAGCAGCCCAGGCAGGTATGAAGACAGGTCTGGACTGCCCTTGTAAAGGGGTCCACTGAATTGCACTCATGAGGGCATGAGATGGAGCTTCCTGTTGGTTGTAGGTAGCTCTATTCCCAGATCTTTATAACCATCAGATAACCACCATCTCCTAGTGGTTTGCAGTTTATGAAACATGATCCACAATTTTATCACTAAGCCCTCACAGAGTTTATTTCCACTTTATAGATTAGGAAATGGAGATTTAAAATACCTTGCCATAAAGTCACAGAGTTACCTAAATGATAGGACAGAAATCTGTACCACTACCTTCTTGTTTTCAATCTCATGCTTTTCCCTTTGGCCTGTGAGCTTGGGAGGAAAAAACAGACCTTGAATATCACCAAACATCAGTGAATCCACTCATTCTCTTCTGCATCTTTTTCAGGGGGGAGGTCCTAGCCAAAGCTGGCACAGAAGAAGCCATCGTGTATTCAGACATAGGTAAGATTTTCCCAGATATGGTTTAGGTCTCTGATGTCCCCATTGTTCTGAGGCCAGACTCCATAGCTGGGAAGTCCCTGTCATTTGTAGGGGTTCCTTTATGCCCCTCCTCATTGATCTCTGAGGATATTCTAGGGTCTGGTTCTCTGGCCAAGCCCTGGGGAGTATATCAGCTTGAGTTTTCTTGGTTTGGTTTGAAAGGATGCCAGGCCATCTGTGCACCTAGATAAGACCTATGTTACTAAGTTACTTACTAAGACTCTGGTGGTTTATACAGTGTGGGGAAGAAATCCCCTTGGTTAGTGAGGAGTTGCAAATTATTAATAGTGTACTTTCCTGTTTTTTGCAGACCTGAAGAAGCTGGCTGAAATACGCCAGCAAATGCCCGTTTTTAGACAGAAGCGATCAGACCTCTATGCTGTGGAGATGAAAAAGCCCTAAAGTTTATGTTTCTAATGTGTCACAGAACAGGAAGATATGATTCTACAGCATAATCAACTCCCTATTAAATTCTTTCATGAAGGTTTTTGTTTTTGTTTTTAAACTCAGCCTGGTCCTTCCTAGGTTCTCTATTGAGATGACAAAGCCTCATTATGCTGACATTTTCCACACCACATTAAATCGTTAAGAAGGATGTAGCCTAGAGCCCGAGAGCAGAAACCTGGGCTGGTTCTGAAGCTTCTTCCCTACTTAAGTTGCCTCCAAGCAGTTTGTGAAAGTATCAGATCTTGGTATCCTGGTGATTGAGTCACCTAATATAAATATATTTATGTCATGAACCTCTTATCCCATTGCTGGAGTTGGAATCTTCCTCATGTAGAAAACGTGGTCTGGTGCTATTCTTTTCCAAGCAGTATCTTGAAGTTCCATTTTTGGTTCATGAGGAGCTACAGGACGCAAGGTGACACATCTTTGGTGTTTGCCAGAGAAGTTGGCAGCCCCACGCCTCTTACCAGCCTTTGGGCTCTTCAAATTTAAAAAGGAGCTGCTCATCCAACTCCAGGCCCTCCGGGTCTTGGAGGAAGGACTGGGTCAACAAAGAGCCCCCTGGGAGAATGGCAGTGGTGCCATTAGTGAAGGCAATTTAGTATGAATCTCTGCAAAAGATTGTTTTGATAGCGTTGAGTGTCCGAAAGTTCCATTATTTTTCTTTTTTCTTTTTCCCCAGTAACACTTTCTAGCTCCACAGATAAACAATCACTGAACCTAGTAGTTCTTAGACAGTCTGGTTTGAGAATCCTTTTGTGGTTAAAAATTAGGGACTGAGCCAGGCGCAGTAGCATGTGCCGGTAGTCCTAGCTA